GAGGTAATTATTGTCAGTATTTTGGTCCATATTCTTTTAGGTATATAATTAATACTTAATTTTTTTTTTTTTTAACTGAGGGTAAAACCCAGGGGCTCTCAGCTGCTGGGCGACATCCTCAGCCCTTTTTATTTTGAGACAAAGCCTTGCTGAGTTGCTGAGAGTCTCGATAAATTGCTGAGGCTAACCTGGAACTTATGATCCTCCTGCCTCAGCCTCCCCAGCCTCTGGGATTATAAACATGGGCTCCTGCTCATGTTTATATACTTAATGTCGTTGTTGTCCTGTTTGTTGCTAGTGTGAGGCCACATATGTTTATACTGTTCCACAACTAGATTGCTTTTCCACTCAGCAGTATGTTCTAGGCATTTTCCCATATGGGTATGTGTAGATATGCCCATTCTTTCTGACTGGTACCTCGCTTCTTCATTTCTTCTGCCATTCCAGATCCATTTTCACCTTCTTCCCTCTCTGAACTGGTGATGGACCTCTGAACTGCATCATCTGGGTTTCTTTGTCCTTTGGTTTCTATTTAGGATCAGTTGATACAAGGCACCAACCGAAGACAAAGGAGTGTGGTAGGAGAGGTTGGGGCACACCACCCTAACTCTACTGCCCCTTGCACCTTGCTGAAGTGCTACACGGCCTGCTCCTCTGTGTCCACTGCCCCCACCGGGTGGCCTCTCTCCCCACCCAGCTCTTGCTGAGCTATCATCCTACTTTGAGGCAGAAGGGCATATCTAGCTTCCTTGCTGGTCTCTGGATCCGTTCTCACTCCTTGTTGGTTCCTTTAAACCCTCCTCACACAGCTCTCAAACATCCTGTCCTGAAACCTCCTTCAGCTTATTCTTTTGCGTGTGCTGTTTCCGTCAACTTCCCACGGTTACCATACCATGGTGGAGTCATTTGAGCTGTTTCTGTTATTTGGCGGTATAATCAGCATTGCTAGTGCACGTTCCTGTACACACCCTTAATGCTTTTTGTTGCAATGTTCCTTGAGGGAAAAGTCACAGAAATAGCAGTGCTGTGTCAAGGTATATGAATGCTATAAATTTCAATAGATATTTCTAAATTGCTCCCCAGAGTCCACCAAATTCACATTTCCAACCTATGTTATTTGATATTAAAAAATTATGGAGGTAATACTTGTGAATTATAACAAATTTAGTTCAGGAGTGTATAAAGGGAAAAGGAAAGTCCTCCCAGTGAAACGCTTCTCATATTCCCATCCCATTCCCTACAGGTAACTGTGCTAATAACATTTAGCTATATATCCTATTGGGCCTTTGCCCCCCTTTTGATACTTACATATTTATTAAAGAATAAATTCATATGTATGTACATGTAAACATTCATATATGTAGATATATGTATATCTCTAGCTGTGAGAACTCATTTCTAGAATCTTCTGTTCCATTATCTGTTTTTTTCCCTGTGCCAGTACCTGTCTTGTCTTAATTATTTCAACCTTGAGTTGGTTTTGATATCTGGGAAGGCAAATTCTAATCTGTGATATTGTAAAATATATATTTGGTCTTTATCCGCATTTTCTGGCATACAATTCCTAAACTCTGTGGAATCTCCACAGTGACCTCTTTTTGTATGCTAATGAGTTGGCTCATGGCTGGCAGACCCTACCTGACTGCCACATGTTGGGCTGGAAGTTTGGGACTTACCAGCCCTGCTTCCCACTCTTTCCTAAGGTTAAGTTGGTCATTGTGGCCAGTGGTGAAATCAATCACCTCTGTAATGAGGCCTCCATAAAACCCGAGAGGACAGAGTTTGGAGAGTTTCCAGATGGCTTGACAGGTGAAGGATCCTGGGGTGGCATACCCAAAGAAGACCCAGAAGATCTTGGTCCCTTCTCCCATACCTCACCCTCTGTATTTCTTCATCTGTATCCTTTGTAATATCATTTGTCATAAATTGGTGTTCCCCTGAATTTGTGAGCCACTTTAGCAAATTAATTGAACCTAAGGAAGGGGTTGGGGAAACTCAGGTTTGTAGCCAGTGGGTCAGAAGAACAGGTAAAAACAACTTGGGGTGTATGGTTGGTTTCTGAAGTGGTGGGAGACAGTTTTAGGGGACTGAGCTTTCAACCTCTGGGATCTTTCAAACAGCACAGTGTGGGAGTGTGATTTGGTGGACTCTGGGGAGCAGTTTTAGCAATAGCTATTGAAATTTACAGAATTCATATACCTTGACACAGCACTTCTATTTCTGGTATCATCTCCAGGTAGACAGTGTCATAACAAAATGGGATTGGAAGATGTCCTCTGCTGCAGTTTTGCTTTCTTGGCCAGAAGAGGACCCCCACCCACACCCCACCCACACCTGGTGTCAGAAACATGTTGCAAAAATGAGTTTGGCTTTTCTCTCCCTGTATGTTCAGCTCATTTTCATTTAAAATTTTCTTGGCTCGTCTTGGGTATGAACTCCTTAGATAATCTTTAGATCTAAGTGTAAAAACAATCATGGATTTTGACTGGAATTAAACTTATAGAGAACTGACATTTCAGGAGAACTGATGTATTTCCAATATTGAATATTCTCACTTAAGAACTTGTTGTCTCTTACTCAGACCTTCTGTATCCTTTGGTGAAAATTCTTGCCCATTTCTTCTCAGGTTTATTTTTAAGTATTTTACAGATTCATTTCCATCACTTTATATTTCCTAATTAGATATTACTGGTGTAATTTTTTTTTTTGGTCGTTATTGAGGACTGAACCCAGGGGTGCTCTATCACTGAGCTACACCCCAGCCCACCTTTTGTAATAGGGTCCTGCTAAGTTGCTGAGGCTGCCTTGAATCTTGTGAACCTCCTGCCTCAACCTTGTGCACCTGGCTGCTGGGATTACACTCATGCACCTGGCTGCTGGTGTAATTTTTTAAGAAGCTGTTGATTTTTGTAAGTTAACCTTATAATTGCCTACTTTAGTGATCCTATTCTTAATGAGTTTTCAGTTTATTTTCTTGGCTTTTCAAGGTGCCCTATTATATAGTATGCAGATTTTCACTTTTTATTCTGAGTTTGTATCTTTCTCATATTATTTGTGGCTGGAGTATCTGGTTGTAGGTGGAGGGTCTGATCAAGGAAGTCTTCTTGGCCCATGTTGCATGCAAGGTGAGTATCAAAGGATGTAGAGCAGGTGTGGCAGCAGGGTGGGTAGAGACTGGATTCCAGACAGACCTCTAGGACAGAAACAACAGGTAGGGCTTAGTGAAACAGAAAGAATGACTAGTTCGTGGGCACAGGTGAGGTTGCGGAGCAGTGGATGGATTGGGGAATAAATCAGGGATCCGTCAGAAACTGCTTGGCTTTACTAAGCAGTTCCTTTCAGATGAATTGAATGGCCCCCTAAAGATGTCCATACTCTCATCTCTGGTACCTGTAGTAGTATCAGCTGACATGGCAAAAGGTATTTTCCAGATGTTATGAAGGTTATGGCTCTTTAAGAAAATGTTCTCAGTGTTTCAGGTGGACCCAGTATAATCACAGGAGATTGGAAGCAGAAGTAAGATGCTGTAGAAGGGAAAACGGGAGAGATTTAGAGTGTGGGACTTAGCACACCTTGGCTGAAGTGGGACCATATGGAAAGTTGGAGGAGACAATAAGAGCAGAGATTGGCTCCTGTCTGTTGACTAGTAGGAAACTGGCCCAAAAGCCATCTGCATGGACTCTACTTAACCAGTAGCTGGACAGGTACAGAAGTAGATTTTGCCTCATACTTGCATACCCATGTTTATGGCAGCACAGTTCACAGTAGCCAAACCACAGAACCAGCCTCCGGATCCATCCGCTGATGAATGGGTAAAGAATATATGGTATGTATGTACAATGGAGTTTTATTGAACCATATGGAAAAACAAAATTGTCATTTGCAAGAAAATAGATGGAAGTTGAGGCCATTATTTTAAGTGAAATAAGCCAAATTCAGAAGGTCAAGGGTTGTGTGTTTTCTCTCATGTGGGAGGTGTCTTATGAATTTCCAAGGGAGAACGGTAGAGTCAAGTAAAGGGATCAAGGGTGGGGGGAGGGGGAGGAGGAGAGAAAGGAAAGGGAAAATACTGGGAAATAATGATACTGGTTAAATTATATTGTTAATGTGTTTATGTATGAATATATAACAACAAACCCATTGTGTATCACTATAATGCATCGGTAAAAAAAAAATGGGGAAAAAAGTAAATTCTGTTTTAGAAAAGACAAAGGACCCTGCTGAGCCTGGGCTTTATGTTTCTTCCTTTTTTTGGTGTGTGAGGGGGTACCACATCTGCAGTCCTTCTTTATATTTCATTTAGAGATAGGGTCTCACTGAGTTGCTTAGCATCTCACTGTTGCTGAGGCTGGCTTTGAACTTGGGATCCTCCTGCCTTAGCTTCCCGAGCTGCTGGGATTACAGGCATGTACCACCTCACTTGGCTTGAACCCGGACTTTTACCTTCAGAACTCTGAGATAATAAATTTGTGTTGTTTTAAACTGTTTAGTTTGCAGTACCTTGTTTCAGCAGTGGTAGATAATACAAAGGGGTTTTGGCAGGGAAGTAACAAACCCCTTTGTTTTGTTATTAAAAGACAACTGTGTGTGCTGGGTATAAAATGGATCTGCAGAGTGTAGGTTTCAAGGCAAGGGCACGGCGGTGGGAGCACAGTGGTGGCATGAACTAGGATGGTGATAGTGGGAAGGGCGTATGATTTGAGATGTATTTGGGAGGTTAAAATTGCAGAATGTGGTCATTGATTGGTGCTGGGGGTGGATGAGGGTGCACGGATGACTGCTGATTTCTGGCCTGGGTGCTGAGGGGTTCTGAGGCTGTTGCTTGAGATGGAGATGAACATGTTGGGAGATGCCATGTTATGAATGCTGAGGTTATTCTTCATTTGGAAATTCTCTTTACAGGTTCTTTATCTTAAGGGAGAGCATAATCAGTATGATGATTACTTTATCTCTTAAGACCTAATTTTTGTTTTTGTTTTTATTTTATTATTATGTTTTAGGTCATGTAGGAAATTGTAAATCATGCGAAGATGGGACTCTTGGTCTTTGTGCGCAATCTGCTGCTAGCCCTCTGCCTCTTTCTGGTCCTGGGATTTTTGTACTATTCCGCATGGAAGCTACACTTACTCCAATGGGAAGACTCTAGTAAGTATAGTTACTCTGACCTCCTGGGAAAAGCCTGGAGCAGGTCAGTTATGGCTTGTCACATGGCTGCAGTGCTCTCATATTCTTCAGAGATGGGCAGTGAGCGTAAACTGGGACTTAGGCTTAGAGATTACCTACTGTTTTAGCTGCTGTAAACTGAGAACTTTATTTCTTTATTTTTTTAAACTGCATGCCATGGCCAGCCTCAGTTCCTCTTATGAACCCAGTGAGAATGTTCTGTTCTTCAATTAAAAATCTACACTATGTCCATACTTCTACTTCTGAATGCTTTTGTTCTTTTAAATTACTATCGTGTGTTACTACTCTTATTCCCTATTTATTGCCTTAGGGTTTGGTATTGAAGTAGGTTTTCTTTTGCCCTCAAATATTCATCTTTACTTTTCCTTGAATTTTCAATTTAATGTTGTCCTTGTTTCATTTTCCCTAAAGAAGCTCTGCCTCTTTACTCTTTTTAGTCCTTTGGTATTGAACTTGCACTTCCTGGAATATTGGCTTCTTTTCCTTACTTGGTAACTCCTCTCCCTTTCTTCTATTTGTGAATTTGGTCTCATGTGTTAAGCAGTGTTTTCCACATATCCCAGTGCCCTCTTATTTGGTTTCTGTTCATCCGCTGTGTCCCCACTCATGTCACCCAATGTCACTTTGTTACAACTTGCAATCGAAGGGCTCACGCTTAATCTTTCCACATTCTGTTCTTGCCTATAGCTTGAAACATCACATAGTAATCATAAAGTGGTTTCCTTTTGTCTATTTTGTCTAATCTGAGCTTGGTTCAGGAAATATGGGGTAGTCTATTTTGATCCTAGGGACTTATCTTCTCTAAAGTAGTTTTATTTTTACAAATGTCTACCCGATACTAGCATACAACTCACTGGAGAGTAGAGTTAGTTCTAGGTATGAGGTTAAAATGAATTGGAAGAGGCAGGTGGCCTGCTGTTGTACTGAGACCTTGCGTGGAAGCCTTTCCTGTATAGCTCATTTAGTTCTTACATGACCCGAACTACTGAGCCGGCCTCAAGCCAAATTTTAAAATATAGTGTGTGTCTTTAATTTATTGTTTTATACAAAATGTTTAAGTCCTCTTAAATGCTTAACTTGTAATCATCAGTAATTGCTTTGTGATTTAAGAGTTTATTCAAATTTCTCTGTACTGACTTATTTTTTAAAATGGGGAGACTATTCAAGACAAGGGGTGTTTCCACCAGTACGATGCAGAAGTCTGTAGTTAGAGGCACTCTTTTATATTCAGGATGGTGACTTCATCTGTATTCATAACATAGATGGAAAATGTGTGTAAGAAACAGGTCTCCTTTTCTGTGGAAAACATAACTAAGAATCAGATAATATTTTCCTATTCTAGAAGTGAGAAAGAGAATTAACATTCTAGAAGACCATTGGGTGTCAGGTTTTAGACTAATTATTTCATCTAATTATCTTACTCAAATTCTGTGAAGATGCCCATATTGTTCCCATTTTCCAGTTGAGCAGACAGCAGCACTTTATGTAAGTAATTTACCAAGGTTATGTAGTTAATTATTGGAACCAAAATTGAACTCTGTTTTCTATCTTTAAAACTCATGTTTAAGCTAGACATGGTGGCGTATACCTGTAATCTCACATACTCAGGAGGCTGAAGCTGGGGAATCATGTGATCCCAGGCATTCAAGACCAGCCTGGGCAAAATAGCAAGATCCTATCTCAAAACAAAAAAAAGCCCCATGTTCAGTATTTTATTGAAAAGTATGATAAATATTGAAGAGGATTTTAATTCTGTATTCTACCTGGGAAAAAGAAAGGACAGGGGCTCAGAGAAGGACTGGTATTATCAGGAGTGGGGTGGAGAAAGAAAAAGAAAAAGGAGAATATAAGAGAAGCAAAAAAGAGAAAGAGTGTCCTACAAAAAATGACAGAGGGATCTGTTAGGTTTGGATGTGACAAAGTACTGTTAATACATGCCGTAGGCTTCCTTGGTGTACTCTAGTTATTTGGGTATACTCCAGTTATTTCCTTTTTTTTATGTTGCTAGTTGACTATGCAGTATTCACAGCTTTTCCATTATTCTAACCTTCAAATTTCTTAGACTCTTGACTTCGAATAGGCCATTTAGGCCATCTCACTGTAGCATCATTTTCAGTGCTGTAATATCAGAGGATTGAGTGTCTACTGTCTGTCTGTACAATAGCAGGAGTTTCATATTCATAATCTCATGTGATCCTCATCATTTTTTTTTAAGCATTTTTCAGTTGTCAGTGGATCTTTTATTTATTTATATGTGGTGCTGAGGATCGAACCCAGGGCCTCACACATGCCAGGCAAGTGCTGTACCGCTGAGCCACATCCCCAGCCCAATCCTCATCATTTTTATCAGTTATTAGTGCTCTCTCATTTTTAAAAATATTTTTTACATTGTAGATGGACACAATGCCTTTATTTTATATATTTATATATTTTTATGTGGTGCTGAGGATCAAACCCAGTGCCTTTCACATGCCGGATGAGTGCACTATCTCTGAGCCACAACCCCAGCTAGTAGTGCACTCATTTTACAGATGTAGAATCTAAGGCTTGGAAGAGTCTCGCTCCATAATCAAAAGTTGGTATGTATCGGCTGCCGTGGTACATTGCCCATAATGCTGAGGCAGGAGGATCACAAGTTCCAGGGCAGCCTCAGCAGCTCAGTAAGACCTTGTCTCATAAGAAAAAATAAAAAGAGCTGGGCATGTAGCTTAGTGATGGAGCATCCCTGGGTTTAATTCCTAGTACCAAAAAAGAAAAAAAAAAGTTTGTATGCCTTTCTTCTGAGGATCTTAGAGGACAATGTCAAGTGTCAAAAATAAATGTCTTTAGCATTTCTTCCTCTTCATTTTTATAATATTAATAGAATTAAGATTACCAGTTGGCATTTCTTCATGATGAGGGGGCAGGCTGGAGTTTTTAATTAATAAATTATTAATTCAATAAACAGTTATGTTCATTATGGTTCCTGTACTGTCCTGGGTAAACTGGATATTAAATGAACTAGGCCTTCATGCTGTTAGCCTGTAGCACGAAAAGGAATCAAAGGAACTTTTGTTAAGTTCCAAAGGAGAAATCTGTGTGCATTGCTGTTGGGGCATAAAATCCCTTCCAGATAGAAAATTCATTGTTTCATTAATTCCAGGGACATAGTTGAGGAATACAAACTACTTTGTTCTGTGCAGCTTGTAGATTCATATAACAAAGTCTTAGTCAGATTACCAAGGTTTGGACCAAATGATTAACCTGGAAGGCTTCAAGTATGAAATTAGTCAGATTATCAACCTGTCTTTAAAAGTATTATAGCTGGTACAGTGACATACACCTATAATACCAGCAACTGAGGAGGCTGAGGCAGGATGATATCAAGTTCAAGGCTAGCCTCAGCAGCTTAGAGAGGTCCTAAGCAACTTAGTGAGGTCCTAAGCAACATAGCGAGGCCTGTCTCATAAAGAAAATAAAAGGGCTCGGGATGTGCTCAATGATTAAGCAACCCTGGGCTCAGTCCCCAGCACCAAAAAATACATAAATAAATAAAAGTACCTTAGACTTCTCTATAATATAATAGAGAATACATATATACACAAAGATGAATTTTATATTATATATTCTAAAATTAATAAACAAGTCAACATAGTCCTTGGGGTTAGAAAGAGGTATGCTTCAGTTTCTTCCTCTCCAAAGTGAAGATAAAATAATTCTTTTTGCCCTGATACTGTATTCAGGTCAGTACCTTGGATAAGAGTTAAGAGTTGCCTCTTATCAATAGATCTGATTCCAATTTTCCATTTCATAGAAGCTGTGCTTATTTTAATTTATTGATTTAAAATTTTATTTCTAATTAATGAATTAAAGTGACTGTTTCAAAGAATTTATTTCCTAAGTTGTGGGATCTTTAAAAATTCATGCCACAGCATTTATAGCAATTCCCTTTGTGTTTGTGCCCATCTTTATAAAAGATCATAGCCAGAGAGATTATAAACTATGCATTATTGATCTGATTGGGTGAATACCATCTGGTAAGTAAGTTGAAAGTTGGATCTGATATTAGGAGAAGGACAGATAGAACTGACCTTAATAGACATAGGGCATTATATTAATTAATTTTTAGTTTTCCCGAATACAAATGAAAAAGAGGCTGTTATTTCTGGCCTATAAGAGGCACTCTGCTTTGTATGGTAATGGAGTAGCTCATGTCAAAACTAGCTCTCCCTCTATAAAAAGCTATACAATAGGACAAAATAAATGAAGCAACTGTGTCAAGCAGTGAACAGTAGGCAGCAGAAAATTTCAATCTCTAAAGAGAAGGAAAACCAACGAGGCAAATCCCACAAATATGCAGCTTTCTGGACCCAATTTCCTACCTGTTCAGAGAGCGAAGTTTGAACAGATTATAGTGGTTTCCACTTAGCTGACGAAGAAAAGACAGCTGAAGCAGTGGGAATCTGGGATGGACCATCTGAGAGGGCATCAGAAGTCTGTGGGGGAGTTTCTGAGAGTCTGAGCTACGTATTACACAGGGCAAAACTAAGTGAGGCTTTCTATACAGATAGCAGCTGCTACAGGATGAGATTAGAAAAGGATACTAAAGGAATATCAGTGCTAGAAGGGAAGCATTGCCAGGGACATTTAAGTTCTAGCCCTATTCTACCAGTGTTTAACCCTGCCATCCAGCTGAGACACTGGAAAGACCATGTAACCCAGAGTCTGGTTCTTAATAAAAAGTTACCAAGACATGCAAAGAAATAAACATGATCCATATGCAAGGAAAAATATAAAAAGAACAACCTTATAGATAAGGTGACCCCCCCAGGGTTGTTGTAGACAAAAAAGCAATTATGAATACACTTGAAGAATTAAAGGAAAATAGAGTGAATAATAAATAGTTTCAGAAATTGAATCTATAGAAAAGAACCAAGTGCTGATTCTAGAACTGAAAAGTTTACAGAAAAAAAAAAGATTAT